ATGACAGGCGTGTCAATGAGCTGAGAGTCAGAACCTGTATCTGTATCTGGAAAAAGATCTGAAGTAATAGACATGAATAAAGGAGACGCCGAATCAAACGGAATGTGGAACCTAGACAAGGAGGAAAAAGTAGTATGCTCCCAAAAGGTAACATGACGCGAGATACGCAACCTATTAGAAATCGGATCCCAACACCTAAATCCTTTGTGTTATACCCCATAACCCAAAAAAAAACACAGACGAGCTCGGGGTTCTAATCTGGTCCGCTCATGGGACGGAATGAGAGAAAAGCAAGCACAACCAAAAGGGCGTAATTGAGTATAATCAGGAGACTGACCGTACAACCTCTCAAAAGGACTGACATCCCTAATGACTGATGAGGGTAACCGATTGATAGCATAAACAGCAGTCAAGGCTGCCTCACCCCAAAAATGATCTGGACACTGAGCAGAAAGAAGAAGAGCACGGACAGTATCAAGAATGTGACGGTGCTTACGTTCAGCTCGTCCATTTTGTTGGGAAGTATATGGACACGAACGTTGAACTAAGGTGCCCTGATCAGAAAGAAAATTCAAAAAAGTAGAATCTTTGTACTCAAGAGCATTGCCAGTACGCAAGACCTTTATAGGACAAGAAAATTGTGTAAGAATCATTTTAGCAAATTGAACATATATGCTGGACAACTCAAAACGATTTTTGAGAAAATAGATCCAGGTAAAATGAGAAAAATCATCAACAAAAATAACAAAATACCGAAAACCACTCAGAGAAGCAACAGGAGAAGGACCCCAAATATCAGAATGTACCAAACCAAAAGGTTTATCTGCAGTTGACAAACTATCCGAAAAAAAAGAGCCGGTTGTTTCCCAAGTTTGCAATGAAGACAACTAAAAGACTCAAAATGACCTGAACCCAAAAGACCCTTATTATATAAAGAACGAACTTTATTCGAAGACGCATGCCCAAGGCGAAGATGCCACTGGAAACTAGACTTACTATCGGTGGCAGAAGCAGAAAAAGTGTAAGAACGAGGGACATGAAGTGACTCAAGCTCAAGTAACCGGCCCTTCTTGCGACCTTTCCCGAGAAGCTGTCCCGTCTGTGAATCCTGAACCTGAACACCAGAAGGTGAAAATATAACATTAAGACTTTGGTCAACCAATTGACCAACAGAAATAAGATTCAAGGCCATGTCAGGAATGCAATATGTGTCGGGAAGATGCAAGGAAGGGGAAGAAATCAAACCAGTGCTGAGTAACATTCATAAGAGTACCATTAGCAGTATGTATAGGAGGTAAAGAGGTTACGAAAGACGAGGAAGACAAAAGTTGCGGGCTAGAGGTCATGTGATTGCAACAACCAGAATCAAAATACCAGTGTGATTTACCTCCGGTAGCAGACATAGAAGAATTGGAAAGAAGAACCTGTTTGAGAATAGCCTCTATGACTTGAAGAGTGGAAGACGAATGCTGAGGCTTAGTAGTGACAGCCGCTGTAACAGAAGAAGTGGCGGTAGAGGAAGACCCATGATGTCGAGAGAATGAACCTCTCGAACGGTGTGATCTGGCTGGACAATATGACCCCGAATATGGCAAATGTGGCATACCACCGTAGGACAAAATGGAGCAATATGACCCTGAACATGGAAAATGTGCCAGATCACCATAGAAGAATCCATATCCAAAAAATAAAGAAGCACCAGCAACCAACAACAGTACGAAGACAAAACAAAATCACGAACTGGATCACAAACCGGATAAAATAGCAGTAAAAGGCCGAAACTAAAAACGGCACGAAAACCAAAACTGACCATACCAGGACGTAGCCGCCGATGAGAGGAGTTGACGGCTGAAAAACCACGGCGATCGGAGCTGGGGGTGAATCTCACGCGCCAGCTGAAGCTGCCAACACTATCGCAATGTTCCGGCGAGTGTGGGTGCCACGCCTCCGAACGGGCCTAAATTTTGACCGACGGCTCGCCGAAAGATGCCGGAGAGGATGGTCTGAGAGGTAAGATAGAAGACGGCCGGAGACGAGTGAAAAATACTAACCCTATATTGGACTATAAACCTAATCTGATATCATGTAAGAAAGTGGGAAAAATATATGTTCGATATTATTCACAAGACATGTACACATATATATAGGAACATATAATGAGCCTAAACCTAATCATACAAGATATATACAAAATATATTATAACCATATATACAAAATATATTCTAACAATACGCGTGAGAAATACCATTGTTCGAGAGTTAGGGAGATTCGATTAAACGCTCCACCAAGTTTAATCGAAGTAGGTGTTTAGGTAATCCGTTAGAAGGCCTTTTGGTACAATATACTTGAGCCTTTTATTACATATTTTTCGGTCATCTTCTTCACATCATCGCCGCCGTCTGCCTCCGTGAAGTCATCGCCAGAAATGCCCATCGCCGCCGGAAGCCGTCCGTGTCCAGCCGATCGCAACCGCGAGCCACCATCCGCAGTCGCGCCCAGCCGGATGCGGTCCCAGCGCCCAGCGACGACGCCAAGCTCCCAGTACCGCCTACTCGCACGCCCTTCGCACCCGCTACCAGTCGCCGTTCGCGCAAGGTCCCAGCGCCCGTCCAACACGCATGCGTTACTCCTATCGCGCCCAGGAAACCTGCTCCACACGCCTGCGTGGCACAGACGCACGACGCCAGTCCGCGAGCGCTTAGGACTCCTGCAACGCACACGCCCAGCAGCTGCCAACGCCCGTACACGCACGCCTGTTACCCGTGAGTCCTGCCTAGCGCCCGACGCACACTCCAGCGACCCGCGCACTACGCCAGTGCCCAAGGCGCACTAGCTGCTGTCCGTGACTAGCGCGCTGCACCGACCCCGAGACCCGCGCACCGTGTGAATCGAGCTTCATTGGAATTATCGATTAGAATCGATTAAAGGCCAAATCTATCTACCCATTAGATTGTGGTATTCAGACGAACTACACCAACAGTACTCTACATCGTCTTAGAGTTGGCAAAAATTTTAAAAGGTAAACGTCCATATCCTAACTATAGATTCCGCTGCATTAGGATTTATTTTGATAAGTTCAATATCGTGCATGTTGTTTGATGTTCCTCATAGAACCCAACAACTGGTATCAGAGCCCAGACTTAATTTAACCTTGTGCACAATTTGAATTTGGAATTTGCCTGTTTACATGAATTACGTGCGTACGGACGCAGCGGCATAGTAGATTAGAAATTGCAATAAGTTTTTGCTGGTGATTTCGAATCCGACTATTGTAACCCATATGTATGGATTTTAATTCAGGTTGAATGTATGCTGTTTTTAAAGCCTCGGACATGTCGAGGAATTTTTGGGTTGGTGAATGCTTGCAATAAATTATTTGTCTGGTGGGACACCGCATAGTTTATTGCTTTCATAGAAACTCATGTACGGCTCCTGCGTGGGTCATAGGATAAATTATGTAATTGTTGTTTATATTATTTATTATTGATCCGGCGGACTTGGGCCAACCTTGACGGGGCGAGGTGATAGACGCATACACGGATGCTATGGTGATGATCCAATGGCTACTTTCCCGGAGACGACCAATCCAGTGGGAGTCACTGCGAAAGGGGAGTTCCAGTGCCTGAATCAGAGGACACACTCAACAAGGACAGGACTGTGTTTTCTCCGTAACATTGGAGATTGATTAATGGCCATGATAGTTGGATTATAATTCCTAGTTTATTATTGCTTATTAATCATGCATGTTTTATGTGATTTCTTATGTGCAAATCAAACATGTTTTAGAAAATCCCGTAAAATAAAAATTTTATTAAGTGTGTAATGGGTTGAAATAAATTACATCCAAGGCCTCCATTATAGGTTTGTCAGTGATGTGATTTAATTCGAGCCCAAAGGACGTTTTATTTCACAGTTCACAAGGACGAATCTCCTTCGGGATGGTTATAGTGATCTATTTCAAAAGCGTACGGATCACCCAAAGGTGGACGTATAATTTTGGTAGTAAACTTAGTACCAATTAATGGGTTACACTTAAAGTGCAAATAATTACGATAGTCCCAAAGGATAAGGTCGTTTTTATTCTTTTATAAGTTAATTGCGCTGGCCAAAAGATGAGACCGACTATTAGTTAAGTATTGCTCGGCAGTATGTTAAGCTAATGGGATTTATCCCTCCTCTTGCGAAACCGTAGACGTCCACACTCCGTGGCCTGCGGGTATTCGGTGTTTTGCGGTGTTGGTGAATTTATTTGAATATTGTTACATGGGATCAATATTTGCTGTTTAAATTCAAAACTACTTGACTGAGTAAAGACTATGTTTGCATGATCCCAGGAATTCAAAATGTCTTTCAATCCGTTGTCCGTAATTCTCAAAGAAAACAAACTTGTTGGTCCCAATTATATTAACTGGAAAAGGAACTTGGATATTGTGTT